GCAGAGATTGTGACTGGTTCACTATTCTGTTACCAGACTGAACACTCTTCATGACATATATCAGGTGGTCCATAACTTTTGGGCAAATCAATGAATAAATGCAATCTAGGATGAATGGTGCATCACTTTGGAACATTACTAGCAAGAATTTAGTACCAATGCAAACTTTGGAATTTGTTGTTGAAAAGCAATGCTACCTGAATTTGATACAAGATTATAAATACAGTCCAATGAAAGCAGAACATCTGAAATGATTTTGCTAGTATAATCATATTATAATGTATACTTATATGCCAATAAGCTTCATGCAAAATTTCTTAGGTCTCACTTGTATTGTGACATCAGATGGCAAAGCATTGCCCACAATGCTTCCACTAGTTATACATGGATAAAAGCTCTTGAGGAAACTCAATTCTGAGGCAGGGCAAGCAAGAAAGTCTTCTTTCCATTGATAACATAACCTTTCATGGAAAACCCTTAGCAAACAGATGGACTCTGCCCCATGCTCCACAGAACTGCCAAGCCAACAGTGGCCCTGATGGAGAGAGGGTTTCCATTTATTTTAATTTTTATTTATTTATTTTTTAATCCTCATCCGAGGATATTTTTCTGTTTATCTTCAGATAGAGTGGGAGGAGGGAGGGAGGGAGGGGGGGGAGAGAGAGAGAGACAGAGAGAGAGAGAGAAAGAGACAGAGAGAGAGAGAGAGAGAGAGAAAGAGACAGAGAGAGAGAGAGAGACATCAACATGAGAGGGACACATCAACTGGTTGCCTCCCACATGACCTAGACTAGCGCCTGGACGAACTGCAACTGAGGCACGTGACCTTGACTGGAATTGAATCAGTGACTCATTGGTCCTTGGGCCAATGCTCCAATTGCTGAGCCAAATGGGCCAGAGCAAGAGAGGGTTTCCATTTAAAGTGATATTGCATCAGGGAAAAGTTCAACTCACAGAGGATGCTTTTGTGCTTATGCCTCATGAATTTAGAGCAGTTAAATGATTTTTACTAACGGTATTATAAACAATACAAATATCTCAAACTCAAAAGCAATTTACTCAAATGCCCAGCTCCTATAAACATCTAAAACTTATTGGTGGTGGGTTAGGCTCCATTCAACTCTTTCTTCTTTTTTCCTTTATCCTCACCCGAGGACATCCCTCCATTTTTTTGTTCAGACAGAGTGGGAGGGAGAGAAAGGAAGAGAGAGAGAGAGAGAGAGAGAGAGAGAGAGACATCGATGTGAAAGGGACACACCGAGTGGCTGCCACCCGCATGACCCAACCAGGGCCGGGGACAAACTGCAACCGAGGTACATGCCCTCAGCAGGAACTGAACCTGGGTCTCTTGGTACCGGCCAGGGCTCAACTCTTTCTTTTTTTTAATCCTTACCCGAGGAAATTTTTTTTTTTTAATATATTTTGTTCAGATAGAATGTTAGGGGGGGAGAGAGAGAGAGAAACATTGACGTGAAAGGAACACATTGGGTGGTTGCCACCCACTCGACCCAACCAGGGCCGGGGACAAACTGCAACCGAGGTACGTGCCCTTAGTGAGAACTGAACCCGGGTCTCTCCGGAACGCAGGCCAATGCTCTAACCGCTGAGCCAAATAGGCCAGGGCTCAACTCTTTCTTAATTGCTGTTCATGTTTTGTGAATATCTCCGCTAAAAATGTTTCAGCTCTAATTTGAAGTACTATTATCTGATACTCTGCAGCTACCATAAATCAGAAAGCTAGCTTAGAATATTGTTTATTTATTAAATAAATCTAAAATTAGTGATACAGTTAAAATTTGTATCTTATATCAAAATAACCAGATGTCAGCTATTATTCTTTTGTTCTAGCCTCTAAACACCATAGACAGAATGGTCTTAAAACTTAAGTTCATTTCTTGGCTCTGTTATTTACCTAACTCCCTGAGCTCAAGGTCATGTGAAGTGAGTCAGAAGTAAATCCTAGGCACCTCTTGTCTCTAGAACATGTGAGCTTGTCTACTAGGCTACACTGCCTCTTTGTAGAATGTAACAATTAATGTATGTGAATTCCTTCCTTCCTCACCCCACATACACTGTGGAGAGAGGTCCACTGACATCTAAAATATAATCATAAAGAAAGATCTCTAAGATTGTAGTTCAATGATGTTAAGTTTATCTTTTATTTCCAAAACCCTTCTGACAAAGTTTCCTTTAATTTAATAAAGTGTAATTACTTGAAAACTGCGGAGGGGAGAGAAGCCCTAGAAATTGTCTTTCAGCTTCAGCCTAATTCTTACTTAAAAATATTGTAAATTAAAAGTGATGTTGACAGAGCCAGCCCCTGGCTCTGCAGGCACCTACCCTCTCCCTCCCAGAGCTGGAGCCTCCATACCCCTGCCCTGCCACCCCCATAAAAAAAAAAAAATGTGATGTTGAGATTCACTAAGTGTAACACATGAATATCTGGTTATAAAAATGTTTTTGCTATTCACACACACACACACACACTTTTAAAAGAAGTTGGCTATTTTTAAGTCAACAATGCATATAAATGCTGACTCCAGGAATTCTCAAATACACCTATGCATGGGGAGGGAGGGAGGTTTTTCTTTTTTTAGTTTTAAAATGAGTTTATTAAAAAATGTTATTAGGAAGGCAACGACATTTGATTTGTCTTTTAAAAATGTTCTGTTTCTTCATAAAGGTAATGTAAGAAGCTACAGAGTTATAAGCTTCTTTCTACTGCATTCCCTGATAGTATAGCACAATGTGGTCATTTCTGCAATGCTAGAATAAATGGAGTCACTCCTATGCTTTTCTTTCTTTTTTATTTTTTTTAGTTCTATTTTTTATTTTAATTTTTTTATCTTTAATGTTGAATGTATTACAGATGTTCCTGATTTTCCCCCCATTGACCCCCTCCTCCCCACTCCTGCCCCTCTCCTGCCTTTTCCCACACTATTGTCTGTGTCCATTGGTTATGTATATAAGTTCTTTGGTTTATTTCTTCCCACCCCCCAACCCCCTTCCCTTTGAGGTTTGTCAGTCTAGCAACCAATTTGTACTTTTTAATCCCTTCACCTTTTTAACCCATTTCCCAAACTCCTCTCTCATCTGGCAACCAACAAAATGTTCTCTGTATCTATGTTCATTTTGTTTGTGGATTCCACTGCCAATAGATATGTATTCATTGCCATTTTGTTTGTTCATATATTTTATCTTTTTCTTCAAAAAGACATTTCATATAATAACGGTTTGGTGGTGATGAACTCCTTTAACTTTTTCTTGTCTGGGAAACTCTTTATATGGCCATTGATTGTAAATGACAGCTTTGCAGGATAGAGTAATCTTGGTTGTAGGTTCTTGCTTTTCATCACTCTGAATATTTCTTGCCCCTCCCTTCTGGCCTGTAAAGTTTTTTTTGAGAAATCAGCTGACAGTCTTATGGGAACTTCCTTGTAGGTAGCTAACTGCTTTTCTCTTGCTTTTAAGCTTCTCTCTTTGTCTTGAACCTTTTGCATTTTGGTGTGGGCCTCTTGGGGTTCATCTTGTTTGGGACTCTCTGTGCTCCCTGGACTTGTATGTCTGTTTCCTTCACCAAGTTAGGAAAGTTTTCTGCCATTATTGTTTTAAATAGGTTTTTGATTTCTTGTTCTCTCTCTTCTCCTTCTGGCACCCCCAAGATGCAAATGCTGGCATGCTTGAAGTTGTCCCAGAGGCGCCTTACACTATCTTCATTTTTTTGGATTCTTTTTTCTTTTTGCTGTTCTGATTGGGTGTTTTTTGCTTCCTTATATTCCAAATCGATGGCTTGCTTCTCGGCTTTACCTACGCTACTATTGAATCTGTGTAAATTAGTCTTTATTTCAGTTAGTGCCTCCTTCATTTATGACTGTGCATCCTCCATTTCTGACTGGCCCTTTTTTATGCTCTTGAGGCCCTCACTAAGTTTGCTGAGGTTCTCACTAAGTTCACTGAGCATCCTTATAAGCAGTATTTTGAACTCAGCATCTGTTAGGTTGCTTATCTCCATTTTGCTTAGTTCCTTTCCTGGGGTTTTGTTCTGTTCTTTCATTTGGGACCAGTTTCTTTGTCTCCTCATTTTGGCTGCCTCCCTATGTTTGTCTCTATGTATTACTTAACGAGAGATATGGGACTAGCTGAGACCAGATACTGCTTGTTTGAAAGAATTTAGGAAAACCTGAAGCAGGATTCAAGACAGGCCAATCCTATGGTTAAGCAACTGGCAACAGCTTGGGTGGGCCTGAAAGTTGGGTGAGGCAGGGCTTCAGGGAATCACCAGGGCGGGGCTACCAGTGTGAGCCAGGTTGCTGGAGTCCCAGATATGGTGGCTGTCTGCTGCCCCAGGGAAGGGCTCACCAAAGGAACAAAGGCCTCTGACAGCAGTTTGTCTCGGAGAAAGCACCCTCTCCAGCCCTCACTCCAATGCCAAACAGCTCAGTTCTTTCCTGTATGTCTCTGGCACCCTTCAAGCTGCCTTCCCTCCAAGTTTAGAGGGAGTGAGTCCGATAAGTCGGTGCATGGGCCCTTTAAGAGGAGCTGCCTGGGGCTCCAGCCACCTCAGCCTCCCTGAGCGTCAGTTCCCACTCGTTTTTCTAGCCAGAAGTTATGAGGACTTCTCTTCCTGGCACTGGAACCCTGAGCGGGGCACCATGTGGGACTGGGACCCCTCAGTCCTCAGGGAGGACCTTCCCAGCCAAGGTAACCTGATTTTTATCTGCCACATGTGGGTGTGGAACCAGCTCGTCCGCCTCCACCCCTCCTACCAGTCTCGATGCGGCTGCTTCTTTAATTCCGTTGTTGTAGGATTTTCCATTCAGCTTGATTTCAGGTGGTTTTGAATGACGGTTGTTCTGTAGTTTATTTGTAACTTTGATGTGGTTGTGGGAGGACACGATACCATGTTTATCTATGCCACCATCTTGACCGGAAGTCCTATGCTTTTCTTTTAAAAGTGATGAATAATTACAGAAGATGGCATGAAAAATCAATTTTTCTATTTATTCTGTAGTGTTGGAGCCAGTATTTTTGCCATCACAGGCTACAATTTTTACTTTATCCACTTTAAGAAGTTCTGTCACCTCTCTGATTTTAACATCATTAAATACAAAAGTCCACGCATCATAGCAGAATCTGTACATATTTAGAGAGCCCTTGAAATGGACTCTGTTCCTGACCCTCTGAGCCAAGGCTGAATTTATAGCCTTATCAAACTGAAGTAGAACTTGAAGGGCAACTTGGGGAGTGATCTATTGAGACTATATGAGCTCATCCAGGCTTTCCTGAAGACTGTTTTCCAAAGTGATATTTTTGTATAACTGATATACCCTGGCTCAGGAGGAAGAAACTGTTTTTCTTATTCAGTCTTGCATCTATGTCCTGCGGGGAAGGCACTTCCTGCCACAGAGTGGACCAAAGCAGCACGGCCAGGAGCCCAGCAGTAGGTACCTACCACCTCTTCCCTCCCCACTTCTTCCTTTTTTTTAAAAAACAGGAACATAACCTATCATTGCAAGCAAGTTGGAAGAAATTGTTGTTATGGTTAGAGGGCAGCAAAAGGAAAGAGAGCACAAATCTGGATCTCCCTTCTCAATCCAAAACATGCAATGGGCCACATTTTCAAATTCCTTGTATGAATTGGACAAGCCATCCTTTTGCAGTGGTAAGAGTTGCTTTGGCTTTGTTTTGAATTTGGTCACGAGAAAGGACAGAGTGTGCTTAACTGGATTGCTCAAGCAGTGTGCCAGGTATTCTTTCAGTGTCTCTTTTGAACTGTCAGATCTTGGCTCCAGTAACCACAAACAAAACACTACATATTGTTTGTAGTAATTTATGGACAAGGAAATCTGGTTTCATTTGGTTTTCTTTTTCTTTCTTTCTTTCTTTCTTTCTTTCTTTCTTTCTTTCTTTCTTTCTTTCTTTCTTCTTTCTTTCTTTCTTTCTTTCTTTCTTTCTTTCTTTCTTTCTTTCTTTCTTTCTTTCTTTCTTTCGAAGCAGGTTTAATTGTCTATTTTTCTACTTTTACTACTCTAATTTTACTGTGCTTGAATCCCTGTTCATCTGGTTTGGGAGTTTTTTAAAAGGAGAAAATTTCTGATATTAAGAACTGGAGACCCTTATATCCTTTGTGGCTCCTTTCTAGAAGGAGAGTAGTGAGCCTTTCTCATTAATGCCAGATGCTGGTAGGAGTCTGACCTGGATTAATGCATTTCAGCTGTTTGTCTTTACTAACTCCTGATTACTCTCTAATTAGTGCTTGGAGGTACTGTCATAAAAGATACACTTACCCACTTTTCATCTTCCCAATCACAGCCACATCAAACCTGCTTTTGAAGTCAAAGCCATAGGATATACCTGTTGCAATCACAGTCTGCAAAGTTGCAAATTGCCCAAGTTAGAAATAAACCTAAAAATCTTGCTTACATAAAATACCACTGCCGAAAACACCCCTTGACCTATTAGATAAGAATCTCAAGCCCAGGCTTTGCTACTCTTTAAAAAGTCCTGGGGTAATTCTAATGTCCCACCAGAGCTGAGAACCATGGCTCTAATTCAAATGGGTCTATCAACTTCTCAGAGATCTTGTCCTCTGTACCAGCCTTGCCTTAAATGGACAGAATAAACCCAAAATCATAAAAGGAAATTCTTAATTCTGAATAAAGATAAAACTGTGCTAAATATTAGAGCCATAAACTTCAGAGATGGCATCTGCCCCACTAAAACCTTCTGATCTAGAGATGACGACGAACTTTCAACATACAAATATGAGATTAATGAATTATGAAAGAAAGTCTTAAGATGATGAATTACCATGATGAGTTCAATTGGGATGGGCACTGGAAGTTTGGCTTTGTAGCACTGATTTATTTCTTTAACCACAAATAAAATGAAGAGGACAGTCAAGGATGTCACAAGGTCTGCAATATTAGTCTTCTCTATTTGTGTAAATATTGAATTTAGTACCTAAAATTATAAAAATGAAAAACACCCAAGTGCTATATTAATGTATAATTTGATTACAACACTCAATTATTTTCAAATAGATACAAATAAGTATTGAGTAAAAGAACTGACAGAGATTGATAGTGATTCTCTGTTCTGCTCATGAGAAGGGTAACAGTGTTAGCACAGTGGTTTAGGGATACTTCTGGTATTTCTGCTGGCAATCTCTTTGGATAATTTCAGATTTTCTTGGACACTTTTCACATTTTTAACTGACCTCTTCTGCTCTTAGGTCTTTTTGGCCACTATTTTTTATTCACATTCATCACTATTTCTCTGTGCAGGGAATAGCCACTGATCCCTGACAGTTTTTCTTAGCATTTACCCCTTAATTCCTGGGCTTTTTTTTAAGTTGAGACCCCTCACACTTTTTAGTTTACTCTTTGTGTCACTTTTGAAAATGAGTTTCCTGGCTAACTGCACTGCGTGTAATTTTAAAATTTGAAGCCAGCCAGATACCACATCCATGGGATTCAGACAGCTCAAGCAGACCCAAATTAGACGTAGAATTTTTCCTAGGGCAATCCACTTTTGGAATAGTTCTGGATGGAAGTGAGAGAGTGTTGTTTCCAATCTGGAGCAAGTTCTGTCTCAGACTCCCAAAGACTGTCTTGACAGACTCACTAATAAGTACAAAGTTAGCGAAAGGAAGGAAATAACAAAGATTAGAGAGGAATCAAGGAAGTAGAGACTAAAAAGACAATAGGAAAGGTTAATGAAACTAACAGCTGGTTTTTAAAAAAGATAAAATAGTCAAATCTTTAGCTAGACTCACAAAAAAAAAAAGAGAGAGAGGTCTCAAATAAAATCAGAATAGATAAGAACACTGTCTGTATGCCTGTTTTTATGCCAGTACCATGCTGTTTTGATTATTACGGATTTGTATAGATTATTTATATTAGGTAGAATAACTTTGTTTTTCCTTCTCAAGATTGTTGTGGTAATTCAGGGTCTTCTGTGGTTCCATATAAATTTTTTGAATATTTGTTCTAGTTCTGTGAAGTATGTCATTGGTATCTTGATAGGAATTGTGTTGAATCTGTAGATTGCTTTGGGTAGTATGAACATTTTAATGATGTTAATTCTTCCTGTTGATGAACATGGTATATGCTCCCACTTATTTGTGTCTTCTTTAATTTTTTTCTTCAGTGCCTTGTAGTTTTCCAAGTACAGGTTTTTTACATCTTGGTTAAATTTGCTCCTAAATATTTCATTCTTTTTGAAGCAATTGTGAATAGAATTTTTTTTTTTTTTTTTTTAGTTTCCCTTTCTAATAGATCATTATTGGTATATACAAATGAAACTGATTTCTGGATATTTATTTTGTATCCTGCTACTTTACTGAATTAATTTATCAGTTTTAGTAGTGTTTTGGTGGAATTTTTAGGGTTCTCTATATGAAATAGAATAGAGAGCCTACAAATAAACCTACAACTTTATAGACAATTAATATTTGACAAAGGAGGCAAAAACATGCAATGAGCTAAATATAGTCTATTCAGTAAATGGTGTTGGGAAAATTGGACAGATAACATGGGGAAAAAAAAGAGAAAAGAAACTAAATCACCTTTTTACACTACATAAGAATAAACTCAAAATGAGTTAAATACTTAAATGTTAGACTCAAAAATCATAAAAATCCTAGAAAAAAAAACAAGCAGTAAAATCTCAGACATCTCCAGTAGCAATATTCTTTCTGATATATCTCCTTGGGCAAGGAAAACAAAATAAAAAATAAATGGGACTATATTAAATTAAAAAGGTTTTACACAACAAAGCAAATCTAAACAAAATGAAGACAACCCACTAAATGGAGGACATATTCACTGATACTCGGCACCAAAATAACAAACATTCCACTTGAAAAATGGGCAAAAAGAGGAGCAGGGGGAATGGATGAGATAAACCAAAGAACGTATATGTGTGTATGTGCAACCAATGGACATAGACAACGATGTCGGGGCAGGGGGAGAAACATCTGTAACAAAAATAAATTAATAAAAATTGCAAAAAAATAAAAAAAATGGGTGAATGACCTGAATAGACATTTCTCCAAAGAGAACAAAAATGGCCAATAAACATATGAAAAGATGTTCGACATCACTAATCATCAGAAAAATGCAAATTAAAACTGCACTGAGATTATCACTTCATATCTGTTGAAACACAATGGCTATCATCAATAAATCAACAAAAAACAAGGGTTGGTGAGGATGTGGAGAAAAAGGAACCCTTGTGCATGGTTGGTAGGAATGCAGATTGGGTAGAAAGCAGTATGGAGTTATGAGTTGGGGCAAGGACTAGGGTGAGGGCAAAGTCTAGGATTAAATAAAATAAAATAAAAATTGATTCATAGTAAGTGGTTCTATAGAAAATATTACCAATTTACATTTCACCAGCATGTATGAGATAACATGATTCTGCATAACATCTCCAGCATTGGCTATTATCACTCTTTCTTATTTTTGCCAGTACGATGGCTAAAAAGTAATATTTTATTGTGGTTTCAATCTTTGATTATTGGTGAGATTAATCATGTTTTTATATCTTTGTCAGTTGAATTTCATTTATGAATTATCTGTTTATGTTCTTTGCCCATTTTATTTTATTTATTTCCTAAAAATTTTGTTTTTAATAGAACTGCCTTATGACCTAGCAATTCTGCTTCTGGGAATTTATCCAAAGAAACTCAAAACACTAATTCAAAAGAATATGTGCATATCTATATTCACTGCACAATTATTTACAATAGCCAAGATTTGGAAGTAGCCCAAGTGTCCATCAGTAGATGAGTAGGTAAAACAAGGATGGTACATTTACACATTTAAATACTACTTGGATGTAAGAAAGGAAGAAAATTTTACCCTTTGTGAAAGCATGAATGGACCTGGAGAACATTATGCTAAGTGAAGCCAGTCAGAGAAAGACAAGTGCCATATGATTTTATTCATATGTAGAATTTAATGAACAAACTGAACTAACAAGCAAAATATAGACAGACTTATAGATAGAGAGCAGGCTAACAGCTTGTGGGGCAGGGGCTAGGGTGGAGGGATTGAGTTAAAAAAGAATAAGAAGAGAAAGAATTCATGCACATGGACAACAGTGTGGTGATTGAGGGGGTGGGTGGAGGTGGGAGAGGGTTTAGGGAGGATAAATGGTGATGGAAAAAAAGAAAAAAAAGAACACTATCTGTTCTACAGTACATCCTCTGTAAGAGAAAGAACCACTGTCCTCTTTACAGATTGGCTAATTTCCTTTTGCTTTATAAACAGAGATGCATAAAGGAGTAAAAACTTCTATACTAAAAGAATGAGACCTGCTTTTTAGAAATAGGGAAGCATGTTCACTCAATTAGCACATTTTATTTAAAATAAGATTTTGAGAAATTTTTAAAAACTTGGGACAAAATAGTAAAGCTTTTAATAATGTATGTAGATATTTTCTTTTAAATAATACTTAAGAGTCAAATATAAGAGAAGTGGTACTTTATTTCTGTTTTTCACATTAGCTGCACAGTAGATGTCATTGATTTTCAGTTTTGTTCTTTTTGTCACTAACTTTTTCTTAATGTGAATAAATTTCACAACCCATTTGTTACCTACCATTTGTTGTAGGTAAGCCCCACGGCAAAGGCATTAAAGAGAAGTTCTCCCAGAAAAATAATAGTGAATTTCATATATTTAAATATTTTTTAAGCCAAGCAAATACTTACTTTGAAAAGTGAAAATGGATCAGTGTATGCTGGGACATTCAGCTGAAGAATAAATTTGAGTTGGGAAACCAAAACATGAACAGCAGCAGCTGTGGTGAAGCCACTGATTAGGGATTCAGATAGGTATATCACCATGAATCCAATCTGCAGAGCCCCCATGAGCAACTGGAAAGAGAAGGGCAAAGGTCTTTGTTAATGCATATTAAGAGTATACCTCAGCACCTGAAGGATCAGCAATTGAAATGATCAAGATGTAAAGGTTCAGCCTGTACTTATAAATCTTAAAGTAGAATGAGTACCTGCCTCCTGGAACACTTTCCCTTCCCCACCCTACTCTCCAAGGTGGAATGTAACTTGCTGTTCAAATAGCATGCAAGTCTAGCTCACCCCCAAAACTAACAGGCTTATCTGCCCCCCCCCCCCTTAAAGGTATGGTATCTTTAGAAGACAGGCCTATAAACCTTTCATAGCAGAATCTTATCTAGTGCCAGCCCTTATCAATTTTCCTACGTAATTTTAAGTTACAATATTCCCTCAAACAAGTTAATTGACTTTTGTAAGAAATAAATCACTGTGTATTGGACATCCAAAGTCCTCGGTTTTAACTGGGGGCAAAAATGGTTAATTACCCCAAAGTATCAGTATTTTGCAATCAGGTGAATGGATGGATTTTCCTTCCCTTGGATACCTGGCCTGCCTTTCCATTCATGTCCCCAGAATGCAGCTGTAGCTGTGGACATGCAGAGGCACTAGGATCAGAAATGTCTTAGAAAGAACTGACCATGCTTGTCAATAGGACACACCATTTATGTTTTTGTATAAATTGACTCTTTCTTTAAAAAAAGCACTTAACCAGTAATATCACTATTTATAAACCTAGGCAAAATCTTGAGGAGTCCATGATATTTTCATTATCAGCAGTGGTGTGGCTTGGGAGAGAGGCTTTAGACCCCTCCATAAACCTCTTCATCTTTCCCCAAATCTTTGATATGAACAGTTCAAAGTCCAAAACTCCAATCCCTTCCAACTAGACTATAGTCCCTGAAGAATCTGAAAGAAAAAAGCTCCAAAATTTCCAGTTTCACTATTACTTGCATATATTATATGTTTATGTTTAGTGACTATTCCCAGGTATTTTATTAAATTTAGCATTTCACTCCTCACTACATGTGCCTTCCTATTGCCACTTTTCCTTCTCTCTAGACCAGTGGTTCTCAACCTTTTTAATGCCATGACCCTTTAATACAGTTCCCCATGTAGTGGTGAACCCCAATCATAAAATTATTTTTGTTGCTACTTCATAACTGTAATTTTGCTACTGTTATGAATTGCCATCGGAAATATGTGTTTTCCAATGGTTTTAGGCGACCCCTGTGAAAGGGCCGTTTGACTCCCAAAGGGGTCGCAACCCACAGGTTGAGAACTGCTGCTCTAGACCCTTGTTCACTCATTTTTGCAACATGAATCTGCCCTTCCACTTCTGGTTGTGGTGAGTGACCCTTTTAAAATGATTTCTTATGGACTATGGAAAGAGGGCTACAAATTAAATAGAAAAGTTAGGAGGGGTGACAAGAAGCAGGGAAATCAGAACAATGTGTATCACACAGGACAAGCAGATTGGGGAGGGTAGATTACATGAAAAAGTACTCACCTGGATAATTCCAGAAAGAACTGTGACTGTGGCAGCCACCATCACCTTATGGTCATCTAGTGATGAATCATTACTCATTGAGCTATTAGAGGAATCTACAGGACTTGGATCAGCCATTGAGGTTAGTCTCATAACTGTTGCTCCCACCATGATACTCAGAACTGGAAATGGACCTAATTAACATAGGGTGAATTGTGGTCAATAAATGTCTCCTTGAAGCACAACTGTCTTTCAGTCCTAATTCTTACAAGGAACTATGATTCTTCTCTTGGATTATGTACAATTTGAAATTGATGCAGTGTGTGGCTAATGGAATTCATAAAGGAAAGGCAGTGTGGGTATTAATTAGCCCCGATATTTACTCACCCACAGATATGTGTCTAGAAGTGCCCAGGAAAAAGTAGACTATGATTGGGAAAAAGGCTGCATACAACCCATAGCTTGGAGAGATGTTGACCAGTAGAGCATATGCTAAACCTGTAAGTACACAAACATCAGGGTCTATATTTCATGCAAGGGGAATCATACAAGTTCTCATTAGATTCTTTAAGTATTTAAATTTGGACCTAAATATAAATTACTTTATTAACTCAAATATATCAAAGACATAAGTATAAGAGCTAAAACTATAAAACTCAGGAAAAAACATAGGTGTAAATCTTTATGATCTTGGATTAGGCAATGGTTTCTTAGAAATGACACCTACAGAATAAGCAATCAAATTAAAAACATAAAATGGGCCCTGGCCGGTTTGGCTCAGCGGTTAGAGCATCGGCCTGCGGTCCGGAGGGACCCGGGTTTGGTTCCCGCTAAGGGCACGTACCTCCGTTGCAGTTTGTCCCCGGCCCTGGTTGGTCGTGCGGGTGGCGGCCACTCGATGTGTCCCTTTCACATCGATGTTTCTCTCTCTCTCTCTTCCTCTCTCTCCCTCCCACTCTATCTGAACAAAAAATGGAAAAATGTCCTCGGGTGAGGACGATAAAAAAAAAAAAAAAAAAAAAAAAACATAAAATGGGCTTCCTCAAAAAATTTAAATGTGTGCTTCGAAGGATACTATAAAGAAATTGAAATGACAACCTAAAAAATGGAAGAAATTATCTGCAAATCATATCTTGAATAAGGGCCTAGTATCCAAAATATATAAATAACCCTTGCAACTCAACAATAAAAAGACAGTCTAATTTTAATATGTGCAAGAGATTTATTTATTTTATTTTTTATCCTCACCTGAGGACATTTTTTCCATTTTTCTGTTCAGATAGAGTGGGAGGGAGAGAGCGGAAGAGAGGAAGAGAGAAAGAGAGAGAGAGAGAGAAAGAAACATCCATGTGAAAGAGACACATTAAGTGGCTGCCACCCGCACGACCCAACCAGGGCCGGGGACAAACTGCAACCGAGGGATGTGCTCTTAGCAGGAACCGAACCCGGGTCTCTCTGGACCACAGGCTGACACTCTAACTGCTGAGCCAAACCAGCCAGGGCTGTGCAAGAGATTTAAATAAACATTTCACAAAAGATATACAAATTTCCAGTAAGTGCGTCTTGTGAATATACCAAGAAACACTGAATTTTACACATTAAAAGAATAAATTTTATAATAGATGAATTACATCTCAAAAAAATTTACCTTGCAGTACACACACCAGCCCTGTGCTGATTCCAGAAACAATGTCACTAAGTAGCCATTCCTTTATCCTGTATGCTGGTAACCAAGATGTTATGGGAAGCAAAGAGAGGGCAATTCTCTTGGCCTTTTGTGTGGAACAGCTGAAAACATTGAAAGCCACAGGTCAGTTACTATCAATTTTTAAGTTTAGTACCTCATTGTAGGTAGAAAATTGGTAAAGATGATAATATAGTAAAGAACAAAGTAGGACTTCCACTAACATTCCCACAAACAGTCACCTCCTTACCCATATCAACTGCCCCTTGGCCACCACGAAAGGAATTTTTAAAAGAAAAATGCTGCTTTTTTTTTTTTTAGCCATAATAGAGCTTATTTGTCATCCTCAGCTTGAATTGTTCAACATTTCAATTGAGAATGTTCCTCTGTCCTCATCTATTAGTCCTCTGATATGGAAAGACTGTGTTGAGAGCTGAGATGGTATTCATTTCATTCGACACAGTCGACCTTTCCAGCTCTGGCAGAGGAATTTGAAAACCAAAGATAAGAAGACTCTGAAAGCTATGGGCTAGAGCCATAAAGGAGACTTGAAAATTTGAAAATTTAGGAGAAAGTGCTTCATTTATTTTAATGCCAGTATCTTAAAAAATATCTTACCTACAGCACAATTTGAGATGATCCAGAAATGTCTTATGATATCTATCTATCTTCTTATATTCTTCTCCAAAGGCATTTGCAGAATACACTGGCCTGGCCACAACGTACTGATTCCCAATGTGCTCGATCATTTTGCTTTCTCTGGAGGCTGTGGTAAGTGGAAGACCTTTGGAACGGTGTGGCAAACCCTTGTCTTGCCTTTAACAGGTTAAAATGCCAGAAACCAAACAGAGCTGGCTTCTTAAATAACTCGGAGATAATGTGATGCAATTTACAGATGAGTGAGCTCTGGACTGAATGTTACCACCTTTTGAGATCAAAAGAAGTAGGATTAAGGGACCTGGATTGTGTTTTGCGACAGTGATATTCCAATGAACTGGACACAACTCCTTTGGGTAAGTAAACAAGAGCTTTTATTTATTTATTTTTAAAAGACCACCAAAAAGCAATAGAAATTGACTCAGTTTACTAATCAGTGAGTGAATTTTTTACCTGTAAAGTAAGATCTCCTCAAGAAAAGGAATTTTAATTTCTTTCGTAGAAACGTTTCCAAAGTTATGGTGTTAGAGAACTGGGACAGATTAGATTTAACATCTACTCATTGCCCCTAAATCCAGGCAAGGCTGTTCCATTTTATCATTCAGAATTTTTGTAATACCTTAGAAAATGTTTTTAATGTGTGAAATTCAAGAATATTGCAATTCAAGTTATTTTTCTATTGTTTCTGGGAATTAAGAAGGTTTTATCATTTATCGTTGAGGAAACTGGCACAAAGTATTATTTGGTTACTTAGTTCACTAGCGATGAGATATTTTTAAGGAAAGATCTTGGGAAATTTACTGAACCTCTCTGAGTCCCAGCTACGTAATTGGGATAACAAAATTCAAGTTTCAGGGTGATTTTGAAGATTAGGTGAGAATGTTTTCAAAGCATCTAGCTCAGTGCCTAGCACACAATGGGCATTTACTAAATGATAGTAATTATTCTGTTTGCATTTTCTGCACAAGATGTTTAAATTTTTTGTTCTTATCTCAGTCTATTACATTTAATTTAAAAGATCAATTTTGCAAAATCTTTTAATGAACAATACCTATTTAGCCCTCACCACTCTTTGAGGCACTTACAATTATTATTATTGGTCTCTTCTTACAAATGAGAGAATAATAGCATACTCCTCTCTACAAAAATCTAAGTACTTTTTCTCAGGCCATATAGCTAGTAGAGTGTCAAATGTGACTTCTGTTTTCAGACTTCTTTGCTATTTCTTCAACATGCAACTTCTCTACTGTCAAATGTGAACATAGTTAAAGAACATTCTAACTATTAGCATTTTCTCCCTCTTTTCTTAGTTTTGTATTACTACCCAGAGTTTTCTTCCCTGACCACAATTGCAATTATTAATTGAATGATCTCAAATTAGATTGTACCTTGTTATACCATGCTCTCTTATAGCTCAGGGATTTTCAGCATGTTTACAGAGCTTGTTATAACCAGGAATCAGATGCTAGCCTGACCTCTCTTTGATGACCCATTTCTCTCCCCACTCCATTCCTTATTTCCCTTGTAAAGTCCTCTCTACCAACCTTCTCTGACCACCATGTAGAACTTCTTGTTCACTCTCTGGCATGACCCCCAGAATTTGAGTCCCTTTGAGCTTTTTTATGACTGTTAGACTCCCTTACCTATTCTTTCTGCCGCTCCTCCTACCTCAAGCTGCTTGTTGTCCCTGCTTCTTATCTCTATCTCCTCTCCCATCCTTTCATTCCCAGTTTGTCAGAAAAACTTGTACATGAAGTAGAGTTGGCTTACTTATTTCTGTGCATAGCACACATTTTTGCCCTGATTTGCCAGTTACCAACAATATGGTTGGGGCATTGACACTTAAGATCTAATCCATGTCAATGATTCTTGACACCTTACCTCTCTTGCAAAGGTTGTTTGGAGTGTCTTTCAAAAGTAGCTTTAATTTTGTGAGGTCTCCAACCTAGACAACCTTAAGATAAAGAAGACTTAGGTATTGTGCATTTTATTTCTGTCAGATGCTATTATGAACACAAAAAAACCTTCCACTATTTTGTTTACTCATATTTTCACCAAGTTGTTCATGAAAACTCATTAGTTCTCTTCCCTAAGAAAGACCCTGAAAGCACTTTTTTTCTTCCTTCTGCTGTTGTATGTTTTCTTTCTGCTAAGTCATGGTCTAATTTTTTTTGCCAATGACAATGATGGCAGAAACAACTTTATTTCTATTAAGCTTCCTTCCCTGAGGATGACCATGGCAGGCTTTTTAGTGGGCTGATCATACCTCCAGCTGGATTAAAGGCCTGAACTCTGGCCATCCTGCCGCAGACTAGAACATGCCTCCTCCTCACACCAAGAGTTGAATAACAGGTGAGTGCTTTTAATCAGGACAGCTTAAAAAAATCTTTTCAGAATTTACAGAGACAGAGAGAGAGAGAGAGAGACTGAGATCTTAATGGCCACATTCCAGTCCTGTGTTTTTTCCCTAGCTGCCATTCTTCTTCCCTAAAACTGCTGCCTCATATTGTACATGGAAGTGACAATCCACTGAATCAACCACTCCAATGGTGTCTCTGCTGAGAAAATCTTCAGGTAGTCACAAATTAATGTCATTCTCCATTTCATCATTTCAGGGATTCTTGAGAATGACCTACTTAGGAATTAAAAAATGAATTTCTTAACTTAAAAAAAAAACACAACAAAACCCTGAATGAGTTACCTTTTCCCCAGAAATTCTTGGAAAATTTTTCCTTAATTCCTAGAATCACAATTCTAATCTCAAATATTATACCCATAAATGTGTACCTTTTCATATTCTGTTTTATCTTTGTGCCTTAAATTTCTCTCTGGGTTCTTTAGGGTGTCAGTGACTTTTGGGGGGATTGAAACTCATTCCCAATTCCAGAATTCTAAGCTTTATTTGTATACATTTCCACTATTATTATTATTATTTTTTTATCCTCACCCGAGGACATTTTTCCATTTTTTGTTCAGATAGAGCAGGAGGGAGAGAGAGGAAGAGAGAGAGAGAGAAACATCCATGTGAAGGGACACATCGAGTGGCTGCCACCCGCACGACCAACCAGGGCCGGGGACAAACTGCAACCGAGGTATGTGCCCTTAGCGGGAACCGAACCCGGGTCTCTCTGTACCGCAGGCCATCGCTCCAACCGCTGTGCCAAACCGGCCAGGGCTCCACTATTATTTTTTTCCTGTGATGTGTTTTTGTTAAATTTTTGGCCTTTATTTTATATATATAATTTTGATCCTAGGGCTTAGTCATGCACATTTATTTTTCTCTTTCTTTCTTCTTTCTTTCTTTCTTTCTTTCTTTCTTTCTTTCTTTCTTTCTTTCTTTCTTTCTTTCTTTCTCTTTTGCTTGAGCAGAAATTGAATTCTGGGTTTAGTTTCTAAATTCAGTTTTTTTTTTCAATTTAACCATTCTTGTTTATTAATAACTTGATATTTTTAAGATGACCATGTTCATACCTCTCCTCCCCTGCCAGTTCCTCCCATCTTCAACCTGCAGGCCAATCAGTACACAAAACTACCTTGCTTCCAGTTACCTCCACTCTGCCTGCCCACTCCACTGAGAAGTCTTATGGCCCCGACCTTTCCACTCCTCAGCATTTATCTATTCAGTGTTCTAGTCTTTCAGAGGTTTGCCCTTTCTACTGGAAAACAACTTTGAGCCAACATGCTCAGAAGTAATGCTAGTATTTTTCTTTAACTGGTGGTAATTTGAAACCAGGAAGCAAGCAAAGTGTGCAGAGTGTTTCTCAGCCCATCCCCAGTCACAGTAGAAGCCACCACTTTCGCAAGGTAGAGTCTTAGTTACCCTACCCCTCAGTAGGATCTCAAAATACCCCTGTGCCACTCAGTGGAAAACCAGAAGTAAGCCAGCACTATCATGAGTTTGTCCTTGGACAATAGAAAATACATCAGTGTGTTGATAGCTATACTTGGAGGAGAGGTAGGAGAATAAGCAGAGTAACTGCTCCAGTGAGCACCTTGAGAGGGGCCCCAGTCAGCAGCCGATGGGGAACCAGACATCAAAGGCACATAAGTCCCACATTCTAGTTGATGTCAATCTGGATGGAAGCAAGGAGATGATGATATCAGACCTGGAGAGGGCCAGAGTGGTGATTAGGAGAAACTGGGCTGGGGGTAGGTTGGGGGTGGGGGTGGGTGTAAAAGATATCAGTGGAGATGTTGATGAAGAGAAGTCAGAAGGGATCAGGGCTGGGGCAGGCAATAATTTCTAGTTAAATCCTGTGATACATGTGTGCCTCAGTCACTTTGAAACACCACAGGTGAAGTAATTAATTAAGCTGTGTTATAGATGTAAACCTGCACTGAGTAGCTATTTTCTTGGAGGAAATAACTTACCATTTAGAACATAAAAAACATGCCTGTTTTTCCCTATCATTTAGTGATGATTCTTTGAAAACAATCAGCATCTCACAAACCCTTCCAGATGGTTTCTGAAGCCATAGTCTTTCCCTGGAGAAAGGGGAGAAGCTACATGGAAGGTGACTGGAGGTGATCGGGCTGAGGTGAGCGAGCTACTGAGGATGTGGAGGCAGTTTCTCAAAGAGTCCCAAGGCAGGATGACTAAAGGAAAAGGTCTGGATTTATTTTTTTTTAAATCATATGGGTAATTCACACAACTCTAGTTCATTGTCCTTAGTGGACATAGCATGTATGTTGTATTGTTTATTTAAGAAGTCTGTTTAAATGACTTAATTTATAGACTTTTTATAACATCTTCTAGGAACTTAGTTTTAGTTTCAGCTTAGTTCAAGAACTAAAATTATTATTATTATTGATATTTTTTTCTATTGGCAATTATGATTATTGGCCATGCGCTGAAAAACTAAGTCATACCTAATTTAATTAGGAGATACAGCAGAAAAAAGTGAGACTGTGGCAGCAGAGTGGACCTGGCTTCACTTCCTGCTTTGCCATTGCTTGCTTAACTGTTGCTGTGGGCAAGTACTTCAAACCTTAGTTTTTTAATGGTGAAAGGAGATGTCATTACCTTCCTTGTAGGGCTGTTGTCATGACTAGAAGTAAGGTAGTAAGGAGAGACTTCCTAGCTTTAATTTCATAGGTAAAAGCCTGAGGTTTGAGTTTAATATCGACTTAGTGTAAACCCAATTTATAACTGCACCTATATCACAAAAGTCAATGGGAACCTGTCTGAAAATGTTAGTGTTGCAACCTTTTCTATGACTTCCTCTTTACTCTGAGCTTTTCCAGAATTAGTTTTCTATTCTCACCCATATATTTGAATAGAATTATAAAGCATCGACCTATCTATGGCATACAAAGCCTTTGACATTTTGGATCTGGCCTTACAAGCTTCTTCATTCCTCCTCTTCCTTCACAATTACAGCAGTTGCTAGCACACCATGGATTTAACATCTCCATGACTTTGCACACATTGTTTCCTTTATTTGTGTTCCTGTCCTCCAACACCTGGTAAATTCAATTCATCCTGAAAAATACTCAGCTGTCCCTGATGGTGGTCCCATAAGAAAATAATAGAGCTGAAAAATTCCTATCATTTAGTGATGTTGAGGCCTTAATGTTATAGCACAATGCATTTACTCGTGTGTGTAGTGATGCTGGTGTAAACAAGCCTACTATGCTGATAGTCATATAAAAGTATAGCACATACAATTATGTACAATACATAATACTGATAATGATAATAAAAGACTGATACTGGTTTATGTATTCACTACATTGTACTTTTAAAAAATCCTCACCTGAGGATATGTTTTTTATTGATTTTTTTTAGAGAGACAGGAAGGGAGAGCGAGAGAGAGAAACATCATTGTGAGAGAAAAACATCCATCAGTTGCATCTTAAATGCACCCTGACTGGGGATTGAACCTGCAAACTAAGTATGTGTCCTGATCAGGGATTAAACCCGCAGACTTTTAGAGTATGGGATGTGCTCCAATCAACTGAGTCTTCTGGCCAGGGCACTATTCTAATGTTATTTTGGCGTGTACTCTTTCTACTTATGAAAAAAAAAAAAGTTTGCTGTAAGTGCACCGTGTTACCTGACAGCAGCCTCATATCTTGTGTTTACTGAGTCTCTCGATTGCATCATTTTCTTTTATGCTTGATTTGACTTTGTGTTGTTTTGTTCATCACGGCCCCTAAGTGTTCAAACAGTGATGAAATTGTCTATGATGTATTTTTCAAAATGTAGCCCCATTGTTAAGTGAAGCATGACTACACATATTTGTATCCCATATCATACTGTATTGTTGTTGCTTACAAGTTTTTCTCCCTAACAAGACTTAGTTCCCCAAGAGCAAGGCTCAAGTCTTAATCATTTTTTCCCCATTTACATAGTACCTGTAACATAGTAATTGCTCACAAAGGTTTGTTGAACTAAGATGAACTATGAAATAGAGATATATAAATGATAAATGATGTAGCCCTAAACTCCAACGTCTACATGCATAAGAGGAATGCCCAAATGCTTTGTACAGATAATAAACTGTGAGATGTGGGTTGGTACTGAGAAAGATTTTATAAAGAAACTGGATCTTAAGTTAGACCTTAAAAAACAGGTTTGAGAGACATGATGAGAAATCAGATGAGAATAAGCAAAATCATGTTTAAGGGATAATGATGCAAAAACTGGGACAGAAAACATTGTTGGCCAATTTCAGACAAATGTTAGGTGGCCATAGCCAGGAGTCTTAGGCTCAATAGACTCACAAAAGAATAAAGATAATCACTTCACTTTCTATAATGCGTTGTGGTTTTCTAAGCACTTTCACTTTTCCCCGTAAGTATTGTCCTGTGACATCGAGAAGGTAGGCATTATTATTGCAACTTACAGATGAAGAAATTGAGATCAGAGATGATAAGTATCTCTTTCAAGTCTCACAGCTAACAAGTGATAGAGCTGGGACAATAAGGTAGTCCTTGTGAATGATTCTCTCCAAAATACACTCTTCTCTGCCATGTCAATTTGTGTGTGTGTGTGTGTGTGTGTGTGTGTGTGTGTGTGTGTGTTCATTAGCCCTGATTCTAAGAGAGACAAGGCAAGAGAACAGAACTCCAGGTGAGGCTCCTCAATGACCTTGCCCTTGAACATAAGGTCCCCTCCCCCATGCCTGTACTCTCAACATCCCATGCACAAGATGTGGGCTTGGGTAGCCTGGAGCTCAGTCTCCTTGAAGTGAACTGGCTCATCCTCTAGAAAAGTGAAACAGCTAGAGGAGGCTCTTCTTTTTTCTTTGGAGAACCAAAGACTTCCATTATGGAGAGAAGCTGGACTAAATTACTTAGTTATTGTAGTAATTAAAAAAATATCCATTCTCATTTTTGAACTG